ACCAGAAAGTGAGAACAGGCATTTGCATGGCACTTTTGTAGCTGGCATTGCAAGGTATTTATGTGCCAGATATACTAAACATTCGTATGCCCCTTCATGCTTCGGCTACCATTCCAGAGAACATGCTTCCATGCTGATGACGCTCATTAAAAAAAAAAAAAAGATGTGTTAATTAAATTTGTGACTGAATGCCTTGGGGGAAAATTGTATGTCCCCTGCTCTGTTTTACCCACATTCTGCCACATATTTCATGTTATAGCAGTCTCGGATGATGACCCAGCACATATTGTTCATTTTAAGAACACTTTCACTGCAGATTTCACAAAACTCAAAGAAGGTACCAATGTGCGATTTCTAAAGATAGCTACAGCACTCGACACAAGATTTAAGAATCTGAAGTGCCTTCCAAAACCTGAGAGGGATTAATTAGGGAGCATGCTTTCAGAAGTCTTAAAAGAGCAACACTCCGATGCAGGAACTATAGAACCTGAACTACCAAAAAAGAAAATCAAACTGCTGCTGGTGACATCTGACTCAAACGATGAAAATGAACATGCGTTGATCCACACTGCTTTGGATAGTTTTCAAGCAGAACCCATCATCATCAACATGGACACATGTCCCTTGGAATAGTGGCTGAAGCGTGAAGGGTCATAACTATTTAGCACATCTGGCACTTAAATATCTTGTGACGCCGGCTACAACAGTGCCATGAGAATGTCTGTTCTCACTTTCAGGTGACATTGTAAGCAAGAATTGGGCAGCATTATCTCCTGAAAATGTAAACGAACTTGTTTGTCTGAGCGATTGGCTGAACAAGAAGTAGGACTGAGTGGACTTGCAAGCTCTAAAATTTTAGATTGTTTAATTTTTGAATGCAGTATTTTTGTACATAATTCTATATTTATAAGTTCAACTTTCATGATCAAGAGATTGCACTACAGTACTTGTATTAGGTGAATTGAAAAATACTATTTCTTTTGTCTTTTTACAGTGCAAACACTTGTAATAAAAAATATAAAGTGAGCACTGTACACTTTGTATTCTGTTGTAATTGAAATCAATATATTTGAAAACATACAAAACATCCAAAAATATTTAAATAAATGGTATTCTATTATTGTTTAACAGTGCGATTAATTTTTTTAATCGCTTGACAGCCCTAATAGGTACGTGCAGGCTGCATAGTTGGGATCTGGAGCTGAACTTCCCCATACCCAACAGCATTTGGATCAGGCCTAATCTCTATATTTACAGTACCAGGAAATCGACAGTGAGATGGGAGTGTGGTCTAGTGGATGAAGCACTGTTCTCCATGTCTCCCTGTATGTACATAACGTCCTCCCTGAACTGATCCATAGGGCCAAGTTCCTTCTCCTCCATATTTCTCAATGCTCACCTCTGCTGAGATACCTGCAAGAAACTAGAGGTGAAGAGCAAGCAGCTGTGGGGCAACTGGAATAGGCTGATACACTATAAAATTCTGTATTTGTTATTGCATATTTCTCCCCAACTGTTTACATGTTGCTCATCTTCTTAGATTGTCAGCCCCAGGATACAGGGATAAATTTGGAGGCTGCTTAGTACAATGGGCCTCCTGTGAGTTGCTGGATTACTAGGAATTTTTAATAAAATTCAGCAATATCTATGAATAATATTTTGCAATTATATGATGCGTCTCATCCCAAGATCTCAAAGCACTTTACTTGCGTTATTTAAGCCTCAGTACACCCTTATAAAGTAGAGATGTATTTCCATTCTACAGATGGAAAAATGGAGACGCAGAGACTTATCCATCTCTTGTCTTTAAATGAAGACTGGATGTCTTTCCAGAAGATATGGTTTAATCAAACTCAAGTTACTGGGCTCAATACAGGAGTCACAAGAGGAAATTACTTGTTTGGTGTTATACAGGAGGTAAACCTTGATAATATAATGGTCATTTCTGACCTTAAAATCTATGAATCTAGGTGACTTGTATAAAAAAAAAAATCACACAGTGAGCCAGATGTGAACTGATCTCCTGAAGAACTCAGGAGTCTTGACTTCCAGTCCTTTGCCCCAACTACTAGATAATATATCTATCTTTGTACATATTGTAATGAACTGGCATGTATGTGTGTGCATGCACACACGTGTGTCTACAAATGCAACCCCCCCCCCCCCCACTATCTTCTGCTGGATGGAATCAGAACTGCTCAACTTTGTATTGTAGCCCCTATATTGCTGTCAGCTAAAGGAGATTCTCCTCTAACTCAACTAGTAGGGGCCTCTGCTTTTGAAACAGGTGGTTCTGGGTCTAGTCCTGAGGAAGTTCTGAATGGCCCTGTTGTGTGCAATGTAGTGACAATGCTATAAAACCAAGATCTGGTACGATATACATATTTTCATTCTGAAAATACCATATTTAAAGAAACAAATCAAAGAATAAGGAGGCATTAATTCTCTGGCATAATCCATCAAGCTCAACTTGTTCTGCAGTAATGAATCTTACAGTAGCACTTTGAATTCCAAACTACAGCCATCTGAGGATTAAAAAACAAACAGAGAAACCAAATTCTTTCAGGTTTCTAGGAACATATCTTATACAGACGCTGCTATAGGTGTACATATGAAAGAGAGAGACAGACACAGAGTGTATAAGTAAAATGAAAGGGTTATTTGTTTTTTATCTAACAGCCCTAAATAATTTATTTTTCAACATTTACCATCTTGTACCACTCCTCTTGAAAGTTTAATGATCACGGGGGGAAAAATACAGAACATTTTCACTCACTTCCAGTGAAAGCTCCTTTATTTCACTTGCATTAAAGACATCACTAGCAATTTGTTAAGAGGGGTAAGTTTTGAAGTGTCGTTAAAGATATTGCTGTAACTTTCTTTACAAGTGTACCAGCAATTTCTCTCTTCCTGATACTAGATACTTTTAAAAAATGTAAGTTGCTCCCAATAGGTATTTGCCCTGACTTCAAAGAAGACAACAACTATTTTTGCTCCAAGTCTTCACTTCCCTATAAACTCATCATAATGTTTGCTCACAATGCTCCTTAGATTTAAAGGAAAACTCCAGTGTAATTTCAAAGATGCTCTATTCATAACAGGCCTGATCCTGCAGCAACCAGTCCTGATGAAGTCAGCCAATGAGCCTGATTTTAATCTCTGTCATGGTTTCACAGTCATAACTTCACTGAACTCAATGGAATTACTTAATGTACACATCATTGTAAGAGAAATCAAACCAGGTCCAATGGGAGTTCTTGCATGAGTAAATAATGCAGGTTCAAGCACCACAACTAGAGTATCTAGACACAAAGAAGAGTAAAATCAGAATGAAAATATGAGACCTGATCTGCAGCAGGTATAAATCAATGTAACTCACTGACTTCAATGGAGTTACAGTGATTTACACCAACAGGAGATCTAGTTCATAGGATAAAATTCTGCTCAGGTACCCTTAGTGCAACCTCACAGATGGCAAAAATTTAGGTTCAGGCAATAAAAATGTTTTGTTGTATCTAATGGGAACAAAAGCGTTTCCATGAGACTTAAAAAACAAAAAAAAAGCCCAACTCAACAAATGTGGGTATTTGTTTAAATATCCCCCTTGCATTACTTAAAACACCAACACCTTTCACTGGTCCCTGAGAACCAGGAAATGAAATTGACTGGCTTAGTTTAACTGTCCAAGCCAGTGAAGTGCAAAAAATAAATTAACAGCAGCAGAGATGAAAAGTAAATCAAATTTTTTGTTTCAGCATCTGCAGGTGTGAGGGGGCATTGAATAATACACATGCTGTGCTGGAGGTAGGGGAATTGTGCAGAAAGCTTCCATAGGTGTACAACCAAATTTTAAAATGAATTCACTTGGCCTGTATCCCTTTTGTTTTCACTTTCTGAGAACGTTCTAGCAAACATGTTTATTGACAAGAACATTTGCAGAAACAGAGTATCTACCTAGTTATTTACACATGAGAGTTGCAAATCTAACCAAGTTAATTGGAGCACCTTGTAATCTAATCTAGTTGAAACATTGAACAGAGTACTGCTAAAATAGCTGCAGAAAGCCAATGTCAAAGTACAGAAAACCAAACTAAAAGGACCATTGGTCTGATCCAGTCTGGCAATTCCTATATTTCTGAATTAATTTGTAATTGCAAATATTCCAGTGGGAAATCTGAGTCTCTCAGTTAAGCTCAACCGATCACATGACAGAAACAGACCAAATGACCTATCATAATCAAAACAGCTGGAATTTTGATTATTTGCTACCAGATCTGCTCATGAACAAGAACTATTCACAGGAATTATTCGGCAAATCATTTTGAAAAATGAACACATTAGGGGAAATCATGATTAACAGGCAATTCCCAAGCAGAAAAGGAGGAGGAAGTTCTTCAAATAGCTCCCATAGATACAAATTATTCACCCAGCTCTATGGAGTGAATGCCATTCTAATGCCAGATTTTTCAAAAGAGTTTAGAACTCCCAATAGAAGTAATTTTTTCAAAAGAATTTAACATCCACAGGTGCCAAACAGGGGACAGATTTTCTATAGAGCCCAGACACATTAGGCAGAAAGCACTTTCAAAAATGTGATCAGAATGGTCACATGGGGAACTGCTAGGCTGACCAGATAGCAAGTGTGAAAAATCAGGAAGTGGGGGGCAATAGGAGCCTATATAAGAAAAAGGCCCAAATATTGGGATTGTCCCTATAAAATCGGGACATCTGATCACCCTAGGAGCTGCTGGATGGCTGAATACTTCTGAAAATCTGGACCTTACTTGGATGTCTAAATGGAAGCTGAGCTCATCTAGTCCAATAATAGGTGCTGAGTTCTTGAAAATCTGGCCCCTGAGGACTTTCAATATCCTGCCCCTAAGAATGCATTCTGTTCTTTCAAATACTATTAAAAAAATCCCAAAGCACAGTTGGTCATGCTTAGCAGAGGAATACACAGTATACTGACATAACATGGCAATGAGATGTGAACTTCTCACCTCTTCTCTCCTGATCAGAATCACCTGCACAACAAAAAAAGAACAAAACAAGAATACCTTAGCCACAGAGAAATACAAATTGTAAGAAGCAGCAGGGGGAGGGTAGAAATTGAGACAGAACAATATTGTGACAATTAACCCTTGTGATTTTAGTGCCAGCCTCACAATATTTGGTTCTTCTTTTAATGCCCAATCTGCTGGAGTGCTGTGATTACATGAGAACCTCAGCTTTCATTTCAAGAAAAAAAGTACATTTCTAGCTATTCTGGTTGTGGAGAAAAATTTGAAAACATGATTTGAGTGAGCCCTAATGTCTCAGAAACCAAATAAAATAACTGCAACTTTTTTTTTCTCCAAATCTCATTACATTTGAACTGATCTTATGTTTTTGAGATCTGACTCATGATTTTTGAGCACTTGGGGGTTGGTATTGCTAGAAACATACCACTCACCAGGTCCAGAAAGGATGGGCAGATAAAGATTTCAATGGCTATTGAAATGGACTATAAAAAATAACCTGAGAAGAACTCAAGATTATTTTGTATAAAAATATAATAGCAGTGGCAAATAGAACAGGAGTAAAACTAGCACACAAGACTGAGGAAATTCTTAAGGCAAAGAAATCACTTGTTTGTAAACAGTGGAAGTATGACAAATACCATTTTCAAATGGAATTCAAACTTTTTATTACATTCTAATGAATGCTGGCTTGTAGCACTGAGAATCCTGTTCACTTTTATTGCCACTTAACCTCACACTGGGGTCTCAGCTTCTCAGCACATAATGATTCTATGGCCCCTTTAAGAGGGAGTCCTGTTCTTGTCCCATTAACTTTGCCTAGTGGAAGATGTTGCAAAACGTGCTGCCAGACAGGAAGATGAATCCAGAGATTACTGTCAGGCTGAGCAGACTCTGAAATGGGGGCTGCTGCTATGTAAAATTTGAGGTTGGTTTGAACCACCCAAGGCTCAGTGAGAAAGACAAGAAGGGACAAGAATGTGACTGCACATAGTTTCGCAGAGCATAATTCTACACCAGTGCAGCAGAGAACAGTGGCCATGTGCATGCATGCTTCTAAAGACTATGGGTCAGATCCTCAGCTGGTGTAAATCAGAATAGTACCATTGCCTTTAATGGGGCGATGCCAATTTTTATCAGCTGAGGACCTGATCCAATAAAGAAGCTGGGTCCAAGAATTCTAGGAATGGTTACCTTCAAGACACACACCTGTAAGACAAAGCACTGTAGGGAACAGCTATGGACTGGCAGAGGGTGGACCAGATGTGACCTAATAGGTCTTTCTCAGCCTCTAACTTCTGTGATCCTTGTTTGTGTTTGTCTTACTTGTAGTATCTCCTGATAAGTCAGCAGCAGTGTAAAACAATTGTCTTCCTTAAAACAGTGTGACATGCACATGGCATATGGGCTGGAGGAGGTGGGGAGGAGAAAAGGAGGCGAGGGGATGAACAGGTACTGCTTCCAAAACATAAAAGAACCAAATAATTCATGGAACACAAAGTGAGATTTAAAGTGCATTTCTCCCAGAGTTTCCAGCTTTTACAAAGCCAGCTTCTTTTGAACATTCATGCTAGGGAAAAAACCCACCCACATCTCATTCCATGGACCCACTTCCCTCCTGGGAACGGCAAGGCAGAGACATGGTACAAGTGACGAAGCTTGAGTCAGAAAAGGTAAAACCAACCATGTAGAAACAAGGCTCACACTTTCCCATACGAATCCATTTATAAATAAGTTTACAAAGGGTTGATAAACTACTAGATGTTTTAATAAACTATTAATTGATTGTTATTGAGTCCCATCAGGTTGCTTATAACCATGGCTTATGAACCTCTATAAACACTTTTTAGTGTGGTGCTTATAACAATTGATAGCATATGCTACTTGTGTCTGTAACATGCATATAACATTTATCAGTCATTTATTAACCCTTTATAAAATATACATTAATGGTATCTTAATACGAAGAATGATCGAACCAAGGGTTCAGTTAAAACCAGTCAGGCCCTAGGTTAGAGAAAGAGTGTCTAATGGTAAGTGCTTACCTGGGCCTTTTGATGGCTCACCTAGAGAAAGCAAAACAAACCATAATGAGTGTCAGTGACTGAACCCTTACTTCTTTCACCAGACTTTGTTATTCCAATCCCCAGCACTTCTATAGCCCCTTCCATCTGTGGCTCACAAAGTGCTTGAAACCCTCCTGTGTGTCAGAGTGGTCTTCCCCATTTTATATTATCATAGATTTTAAGACCAGAAAGGACCACTATGACCATCTAGTCAGACCCACAGCATAACACAACAGAGAATCTCCCCCAAAAGGAAGTATTCTCCTCATTATACAGATGGGAAACTGAAGCACAGATTGATGAAATGACTGTCCCTAGATTAAACAGCAGGTCAGTGGCAGAGCTAGGAAAAGAATTCAGGTCTCTTGCCCGCCAGGCCAGTGCCTTAGCCACCGAACCACAGTCTCTCAGTTTACACAAAAACTGCAGCACAGAAATCAAGGGCCACATTTGTAAAAGTGGCCTTTACTGTATGCTCTCTGGAGCAGGGACTGCCACTGTGTTATTTGCTTATTCAGTGCCTACTGCTAGGGGGCACTGATCCCTTTCCTGGGCAATTCCTTCTTGGATCCCATTCAGAACTGTGACCTAGATCATCAGCTCTTTGGGGCAGGGACTGTGTTTTTCATACGTTGAGTCCCTAGCTCCCTGACTGGGGTCCTTAGGTGTTATCAAAATACAAATACGTAGTGATAATATCTGCCCTTTGGACCATTAAAGCACTTCAGCTGAGCAGGATCCCAGTGGTTTTTTTTCTTGCTTGTGTGTTCTTTTAAAGAATGACTTCACAACCAATGGGACTGGGTATCACTAGACCCTTTTTCCTTCCCATGAGGAAAGAGACAGTGGTGATGTGACTGGCCCAAAACCTGTGGCAGAAATGGGACTAGAAATCAGGACTCTTGGCATCCCAGTCCTGTGCCTTAGCCACATACCACTGTTCTTCCCTGGACACAGCCTGAGTTTTGTTTCCCTGGCTTCTAAGTATAAGGGCCAGATCATCAGCTGGTGTAAGTCAACTTTGCTCCATTCATTTCAATGGAGAGGGACCAGTCTACATCAGCTGGGGTGCTGGCCCTAAAAAGTTTACTTCTGGTTTCCAAATGCTCTCAGGAAACAGAAGAAAGTAGAATAAAGCCAGGTATTAAAGGGGCGAGGGGCCTGGAGCACAGGGAAGAAGAGGAAGGAATGAAAAGTGTCCTTGCCATACCTGAAGTGACAATGGTTTCTGGAGAAGTTACTGCCATAGTGATGTTCCCCATTGCGGGCACTGTCTTTATGTCTTCTGAAGCTGTTTGTGCAGCAGAATATGTGGTGCTGGGTGGACTGGAGGTGGACCCAGGTGCAGGCACAGTTGTCCTCATGGTGCGGTTTTCATTGCCCAGCAAGCTGACAGTGGTGTTCGGAGGGAGCTCTGTGGCTTGCATGGTAGTAGGCCCAGGCGCCTTGGTAACTACGGTTGTTGAAGAGCTAGCGTTCAGACTGTTTGGACTAGTGCCCTTTCTGCCATCTGGCTCTGATGTAGGGGCTTTCGTGGAATGCATGGCAGAGGTGTGCTCTATGGACGGTGGCACTGGAAGCAACAAAGCACAAGATAACCTCCAATGTCCTTTTATTCCTTCCCCTCCCCAGCATTGGGGCAGCTGAACCTGGGAACACCAGATGGGACCAATTCTCCTCTGGCTTTACTTCAGTGTAACGCCATTGACTTCAGTCGAATAACACTGGTGTGAAAGGAGAATTAGGCCCTGCATCTCAATCGCAGGAGTTCAGTGACTGTAGGTGTCTGATCCAGCTCCCGTTGAAATCCCTGGGAGTCTTTCCAGTGGCTTCAATGGGAGCTGGGTCTGGCTCTAGGCAACCAGGGATGTGTGACAATCTCAATCCTTCCCATTCATTCTCAGCCACAGATTATTTAAAAGGCAGGTTTTCAGTATTAAATGCAGCTGACCTCAGCTTTCATTTGACACAGCAAATGTTTGCACTGAGTTATCAGAGTCCAAATATAGTTTCACTTGGCACTGTGGGAGAATCTGAATGGAGGAAAAGATGACCTCCCACTATATTCCCTATCATGGCAGTAAGATCAGTGGGGGGATATTGCCAACAGGAAGGCACAAAGGCCACCAATGTCCATCATCCACAACTGCAGGATTTTGGTCAGGTGGGATGTGCCCCCCCAAAAATGCTTCAGGGCAAGGCAAAAAATGCCTCAGGGTTCCAGCCAGCACACTGTGGGGTAAAACTTCTGTCCTGCCCCCATCAGGCAATCAGGATTGTCCACCTGAATGGAATCAATGAACCAAGGATTAAAAAGAATTTGCATAAACCCTGCTGATACAGTATCTGTGTATTCCTAAAGCACCTATTACCTTGCATGCATCGGCAGTGATAGATGCATCCAGTGCACACACATTGACTCAATCTCAGGGTCTCTAAACACATACTAGACTTAGGGTCTGGAAAGGAAGAATTTTTCAGTGGGATCATTGGTAAGACTGGTTAATCAGCATATAGGGCTTGCTTAGCCTTGGGGAATTTGCAGTCGAACTTCACTTAATATAAACACACGGCACTGGTGCACAATAGGGCCTGCACCAATGTATCTTATCCCAGTAGCTCACTGGGTATGTCGCACTAATGCAAGCCCCATCTTGCATCACATGTACACTTGAGATTTGCACTACTGTAGCGACATCAGTGCAAAAAACACACAATCCCACAGTATGGAGATGGCTTTAGATACTGCAGTGATAAGGGCAATAGAAGAGCAGATGTTTTAGACAGATATTATCCCCTGCCTTTGCTACCTTAACTATGAGCATGACTAATTAAAACAAACAAACAAAAAACACAATAAGTGAGGATCTTCGATGTTTGCAGGCCCAGCATTATCTTCTAGCAGACACCATATACTGATCGTCTTCTACCATCTGCAACTCCTGTCAGACACTTCTTCATGGCAGGTAATTAAGGGGATGAGGGCAGTAAGTCACTAAGGATTTGAGGATCTCCTCATTCAATCCCGACTACTGTTTACAACCAGGAGAGGAAGCGATGAACATGTCTCACCTGAGGTAGTGATGTGCGCACCTAGACACGTCAGGCCACTTCCAAGCAAGAGGACAAAGAACCACGAATCCATGTTGACCTGGGGAAAAAAAGTGAACATGCTGTATTAGAAATCCTGTGGCACTTCCCCATATCAGCTCGATCACAGGGTGCATTACCAACCACTACTCACTCCCACATCCAGGAGGATAGAAGACTGAGAAGGAAAAGTCCTACTACTAAGGTTAGTTAGTCCATCTCTCCGCCCCATCACATGCAGGGAACAATTGTAGGATTTCACTCTACAGAATAGACTCAATGACTTTGTCCAATACAGTTATTGATAACACTTTGCTCTTATATAAAGCTTTTCCCTAGTAGATCTTAAACAGCTTGACAAAAGGAAATATCATTACCCCTATTTTACTAGTGGGGAAACTGAGGAACAGAGCGGTGTCTAAGGTCACCCTGCTGGCTAGCGAAGGAACAGAACCCAAGTCTCTTGAATCCTAGTCCAGTGTCCACTAAGTTACATTGCTTCTCACTGAGGCCTCTGAACTAGAGACTAGTAAATTAATCTAAAAGCACAATTCAGTTGGCTCACAGAAGTCAGAGATGGAGAGGACCTACTAGAGCCCATTTAGTTCATCAGTTTCCATAGCAGGGTAATTCCCTGTAGTACATGCTTTTGGCATTTGTCCAGTTTAATTTTCAATGTCTCCTGGGACAAAGTTTCCACCGCTTTTCTTAACTGACCGTTCTACTGATTAAGCAATCTCATTGCCAGAGAAGGTTTTACTCTTGATGTTCAGCCTATTTTTTCCCTTCTCCTATGACATCTGTTCTCAATGTATTTATTTTGCTCTGTTTCAATCTGGGCCCATCCCAAGCTCTGGGCACCCATACAACACTGAAGTCATAAACACACTAGAAACAATGTCCAAAATACAAGGTCCTCCCAGCCCCACTCAAACTGGGACTCTCACACCACCCGGTACCACCCACTCAGCTCTTTTTCCCACAGAAAGCCTTGCAGAAATCAAGGGTCAACAAAACCAGTCTCTGCTGGACCAATGGGGGGATTTAGTTCTAGAGACAAGGACCCTTCATTGAAGTCACTCTGCTGCCAGCCCCTCCTGATTAAACAAGTAATCTGAACTACTCTGGTATCACACAGGGAAGATGATGTCTCTGCGACCTGGTCTGCCCTCATGAGAGCAAATCACTTAGAACACATTGCATCCACAAACAAGAATGTTCCCCAAATGGCTTCATAACCAGTTAGAACAGCTAGCCTTTCAGTAGATTTAATAACTGGTTAAAGCTTAGCCAGTTCAGTCTGAAACAGTTTAGTGCCAGTGTGAACAGAGGCAAGCTGAAATAGTTCAACTGGTGGTCTTGCAACGTCTCCCAGAATGCACTGCTTCTGGAAGCCAAGCCAGGAATTGTGGGATAGCTACCCAGAAAACATTACATCTGAAAGGGTTTAGGCTAGGGCGAATATGGATGCATTCAACTGGTTCAGGCATGGATAATGCAAATACACTGAACAGCTTGTGCTGAAACTGGTTTAGTACAACTGGTTTAATTCTCTATTGTAGGCAAGACCTCAAAAATTCTGAACCTAAACCTTTTAAGGCTTTTAGGGTTACAACCAACTCTTTCACATGTAACCGTAAACCAGTGCAGATCCTGGAGCACAGGTATAAAGCAAGAAGCATCATATGCTGAATACAACTGTTCTAGTTATACCTTCTCCCTTGTCTGTACTGGGCTAGCTTGATTATCACTTCAAAAAATTTTTTTTTCTCTTACTTAATTGGCCTCTCAGAGTTGGTAAGACAACTCCCACCTGTTCATGCTCTCTGTATGTGTGTATATATATCTCCTCAATATATGTTCCACTCTATATGCATCCGAAGAAGTGGGCACGAAAGCTTATGCTCTAATAAATTTGTTAGTCTCTAAGGTGCCACAAGTACTCCTGTTCTTTTTGCGGATACAGACTAACACGGCTGCTACTCTGAAACGTCTCCCTTGAAGCATCTAGAAGAATCTAGAAGCATACAGATTCCCCAGGTTTACACCAAGACTATGCTAAACTATAGGATTTTAAATGCAAAAAACACACAGCAAAGCAATTTCATTCCAGAGCAGAGATGGTCCTAAGCCACATTGTTTGTATACAGATCCTAACTTTCCCAAACTTCTGAGGGCTGGGGGTTGGAGTGAGGCTTTTGTCTCAGGCTTCTCTGTACTTCAAAGGTTTGTGAATGTGAGCAAACTTCACCATAAACCATGCAAGCTTCCATTCTGCAAGGAAACCAAAAGCAGGAAAACCCCACCCGGTGTCAGGTTGCATCACAAAGACTTTTTTCATTACTGCCATCTCAAGCACAGCCATTTACTTTTCTCAGTATGAATTACAAGTCTGTGACTGATCACAAGTAATGAAGACAGAGCGGAAGGAACACAGATTCAGAAATGTAGGGCTGGAAGGCACCTCAAGAAGTCATCTAGTCTAGCTCTCTGCGCTCAGGCCCCCGGACAAGTGTTTGTCCAACCCGTTCTTAAAAAGCCTCCAATGATGGGAATTCCACAACCTCCCTTGGAAACCTATTCCAGTATTTCACTATCCTTATAGTTAGAAAGTTTTTCCTAATATCTAACCTAAATCTCCCTGGCTGTAGAGGAAGCCCATTATTTCTTGTCCATATCTACTGAAGGTAGGACAACAATTGATCATAATCCTCTTTAGAACAATCCTTAACATATCTGAAGACTTATCAGGTTGCCCTTCATTCTCTTCTTTTCTCAAGACTAAACAGGCCCAGTTTTTAACCTTTCCTCATAGGTCAGGTTTTCTAAACTTTTATCATTTTTGCTGTTCTCCTTTGGATTCTCTCTAATTTGTTCACATTTCCTGAAGTGTGGCACCCAGAACTGGACAGAGTACATCCACTGAGGCCTCACCAGTGCTGGTTAGAGTGTGACAATTACCTCCCAACTCTCACATACACTCCTGTTAATACACTGCAAGATGATATTCGCCCTTTTTGCAACTGTATCAGTGTTGACTCCTATTCAATTTGTGATCCACTATAACCTCCTCCCCCCCAATCCTTCTAAGTAGCTCTTTTGTCTAGCCAGTTATTCACATTTTGTAGTTATGCATTTGATTTTTCCTCCCTATGTGAAGTAAAGTGGAGTCGCATCATAGGCGCATTTAACATACCTGATTTTAACTATATGCACTTGGCAAACCAAAAAAAACCCGAGAAAAACAACAATTTAAATACTGTACCTGTAGTGCAGGCAATTCCACCCGCCATTCCACTCAATGAACGTTTGACTATACGCGATTTTCGCCTTACGTGCTGACTTCAGAACCTAAACCCCGCGTAAGATGCGACTCCCCTGTACTTTGCCCTTATCTTTATTGAATTTCATCTTGTTGAATTCAGACCAATTAGCCAATTTGTCATAGTCATTTTGAATTCTAATCCTATGCTCCAAAGTGCTTGAAACCCCTCCACAGCTTTGTTTCATCTCTAAATTTTATAAGCATAATCTCCACTCTGTTATCCAAGTCATTAATGAAAATATTTAATAGTACCAGACTCAGAACCAACCCTCACTGAACCCTACTAGATATGTCCTCCTAGTTGACAACGAACTATTGATAATTACTTTGAGTATGGTCGTTGTACCAGTTGTGCATCCACCCTATATTAATTTAATCTAGACCGCATTTCCCTAATTTGCTTATGAGAAGGTCATGTGGGACTGCGTCAAAAGCCTTACTAAAATCAAGATATCATGTCTACTGCCTCTCCCTATCCACTAGGCCAGTAACCCTGTCCAAGAAATAAGTTAGTCTGGTTTGATATGGCTTGTTGACAAATCCATGTTGTGAAACTAGCCTCAACTTCACACCTCCACCCATACACTAGTGTGCCTCTCCGGAGAAGAGCACATACATGGCTGCTAAAATTCAACCTGGGTTTGGCCACAAAGGCAGACCTCACATGCCATAATCATTCAGCTGCTGGAAAATGAATTCTCCAAACACTTGTTAAGAGGTGCATGATTAAAGATCGGGGGCAGTCAAAAGGACCCCAGCAGGGCAACCTGTGAGCTCTGGAGTTTTCACAGATTACAAGGTATGTGGTTCCTCCACCAGATAATCTGATGAGATGCTTATGTCTGGCAAATAAGATAGGGAAGTCTCTCTCCTCTCCCCCACCTTTCATTTTTAACACACATTTGGGATTTACTCGCATATGCTAACACTGGATTTAGAGTAACATTTTGTACAAAGATGAACAGATGAGTCACTGTATCTGGGAGGCTTCCTATTCACACTGAAACAACACCACTTAGTACTCACATGGGATTTCTGCTCTTCAAGTCTCTCTATGCAACCCATATCTCACTGATCAATGGAAAATGTGTATATTGCACCTCCCGCCACCACTTCTTATTTCAACAGAAAGAAATTTTGGACTGTTCCCATTTTCCATAAACTGGATACCTTCTCATTGCAAGCCTAAGCATACTCCATGAAGGAACAATGGCATTATTTGCCCAACGTCACTCAGTAAGTCAGTGACAGAGCAGAAACAGAACCTATGGGTTCAGATTCTCAGTCTCTTGCTGCCAACAGCTCAGGTATGTGGGTGAATGTATAAAACTGGATATGTATCTTAAGGTTTTATAGTCCTGCCTACCAATAGTATCTAAGCATCTTCCAAGTAAAATCAATAGCAGTAGCGAAGTTCCTAAGGAACTACACGGAGTCCCTAGCTCTTCTACCTGCCCTAAAACATCCTCATTTGGAGTTTGAATGAAGTCTGGTTGCAAACAATTACTTCCTCATTCTGATACTTCCTCTCTTGACAATATGCTATCAGATATAATCTTAACTACCACCACTTATGTAGGGGTTTTAATCCATAAATCTCAAAGGGCTTTACATATTATCACCATCTTATAGATGGGGAAACTGAGGTACAGAGAGGTGAAATTTTGTCCAAAGTCCCAACAAATCAGGAACAGAACCCAGGAGTCCTGAATCCAAGCATAATATCCTATCTACTG